TATCCCTTTACTAGTTTCATCAATCAATGAGTAATCATTAAATACCAACTGTCCTTAGTACCTAACTAGACACCAAAAGTTTTGCTTTTCCCAAATCCATGTCCCTTTCAAGTTGTCGACATTATTTTCTGTTACGTTTTTCAATTAATGAAGTTTGTAAAATGAGCATCACAAAACTGACTCATCAGTTGGTACAGCTTTCCTTCTCAACACCATCAGTCTGACATTTTCATAAGCTCTGAACACAGTTAAAGTGTACTGTGGGGAAAAAAAAAACCCAAAAAAACCACACTTGCTGAATTACGGGAACTTTACGGAAAAATGAAACCTTATCAGAAAATAAAACCAAATCAGAACTCTTGACTTTAGTGCTAACGATGTTCAGGGAGTCAAGTAAACGCCACTGGCTGATTCAGCGTTGTGATCAGGTGGAGGTATCTCCTCCTGCTGGGTTGGCTCGGGACGAAAGCAAATGCACGCCATGCCTGGCACTTACCTGCACGCAATAAATAGTAACTATAATGAGGTGTCAAATACGTTAGTCTTAGGAGCTTTGTCTTCATAGTAATAATTACTATACAACTACATTTCTTCACCTTCTTACATTAAAAATAGATAAAAACGAACTGCATTTGCTTTCTTAGGTCAGTTGGCTCGTGTAAAATAAACAAAACAGCACTACTCTGAGCATGTACGATATTTTTCATGAAATTAAAACCTAAATAAACATCAATATTGACTGAATGTATTCACAGATCAGTAATATTTCTATGATTTTGGCAGAAGGCCAATTTAATCGAACATATAACAGTACACCTACTGTGTGCCATGAGCTATATTATGTGTTGTTTACGACTATGACTAAAAGCTGTGAAATCCATTTAGACCAGTATTAAAAGAAAGAAAATAGAACAGAAAAAAAAAAGCAGACAGCAGAGAGCATCAAATGTAAATCAGAACATGCATCATGTTCGGAGCTCTGTTTCAGTTTAAACATGCCCACGCTCGGGTGTACCAGGGGCCCGGCAACGCACATCTCGGTGTGCACATCTCGGTGTGGGTCACGATGCGAAGCTCGGAAACGCTGCTGCCTCAGGATCTCTGGGTCACACAAGACTGTTTGAGACAGAGTCACCATCCTCAAGAACCTCTGTCAACGATGTTTAACAAATACAGAGCTAAGTAGAAACAAACTCCCAGGGACATTCAAAGGAGACAGCATCTCTGCGTTAGAGGTCAGGGAACATGGCCGAGATGAGACTTAGAGGACAGGCTGCGCTCGGGGGGGCAGAGGAGGAGAGAGGGGCTCTGGGTAACAGATGACATAGGAGCTTTCTTCAGGGAACACAGCAATCTAGGCCCCCGCCAGGGTACTCCTGTATGAGGATGGAAGTGAGGCTAGGAAGGTAGTTCCGACCACACGGAGAAATGCAGACCAGGGAGGTGTCCTTAGGTTGATAATTGCAGGAGAGCAGAAGGGGAGACACCTGGAGCTCATCTTTCGGAAGTTTAAGTTAGCAAAGGCTTACAGGGGGAGCGGTGGGCAGCTCCAGGCAGAGCACAAGGCTGGCTGGACGGACTGTGACTGGTCTAGAGCGATGTCCCTCCGCTGCCTGAGGCTGGGGGCTGCAATGGGCAGAGCTGACAGGCGTCGGAATGGTAAGGAATAAACTGGTTTGAAAAAGCATGGTTATCATACGTGCTGTTTTCACAATCCAAATTTCAGAAAGTGTCACTGTGAGATCCCTTTGGGGGTGAGAATGTGCACCCCATTTTATAAGAGCCCTAATTGCCAAGGTCCTTTCTGGCTCTAACCTCTTTCAGATGATATTTTAGGGATGAGTAAGCTCAGGCTACAGGAGGTGACATGGCTAATGAGCGGCAGGGCTGCAGCCAGACCCGAAGCCTTCGAAATTCCGGATGTGCCCACCCCACCGTGCCATGTATCTGTGATGGTTTCCATGTCACACGTGTAGCAGTTGTGGCAGGGGGAGACCTAGCTGGAGAAGCTCACGAGCTGGATTTAGATATTCACCCCCTGTTGTCTGCTTTCTGCCAGACGGCGGTTCCCATGGACACAGCAGGAAACACGAATCTGTAAAACAGGCAGGCCCTCGCCCAAGCCCCTCATTGGGGCAAATATTATTTTGACTATACCACACTCCAAATCACGACCACACACAACTAGCGGAATTAAAAAGATAAAATGGCGAAGCCATGTCGAGCAGCCACATTCTCCAACCTCCTATCTATCAACCCACCGTCACTTCTACATTCTCAGGCTTTTAAAACTAGGATCTGGTTCTAATTTCCTATTGGTGTATCAATGTCTTGACCTTTTCTCATTCATTATTTAATTAGTTTATCTATTTCTCTGTGTCATTCCCAAGTGCACATTTCCCATAAACTTCCAGGACAGCTTATGAAAATGAAAGAGCATTTTTCCTCGGTAATGTTTCCATCGTTGCAACTCCTGAGAACAATTTCTTGAGAGATGTTCTGGGAGTTGTATTCCAGAACACATTAGCTCCCTGGTCCTCCCCAGTAGGACGGATGAAATGGTCTTGCTTTGAGTGTTGCTCTGACTCTTCTGGTTTCAGCAGAAAAGATACACGTTCCACTTACAGAAGCTCCAGGAAGCGACTTCAAGCAGGCCCAAAGCTTAGTCCTGGGGGGAGGGGGGGGAGCACCTGCGAGCCAGTGTGGAGAAAAGACCAACTCTCCCGGGAAACGCTGGGAATGGGAGTCAGTTGTTTCCAGTGCATCGGGGAGGCAAGAGGAGCGGCAGAGTTAATAAGCTTTTCCTGAGAAAGGAAAAGAGCTTCTCAGGCATTGAGTGGGAACGTCGCCTTGTCAGGGGTATCGATGAGGTCTGGGCCCGGGGAGCTTGTCCCGCCAACTGGGAGCATCCCTGAGTCCTGCTGTGTGTAGCGCCTCTGTTTCAGAAGTCGTTCTGTTCACCCACGTGTCTTCCGTTCGGTTACACCATGGTCCCTCGCGGCAGCACAGTGACCGTGGATCACGGTCCAGAGTGATACAAGCTTACAACTGAGGTGCTGTGAGCAATGAGGAAAGGGGGAAGAGAAGGGAAGGGAAAGGCAGGGTACAGGACAAGAAGCACAGCTGAAGTTGGGATTTCGCCAGAAGATGGAAAGGGTGTGCCTGCGGCTATGTGGAGATGGGCAGACAAATTTAAACTAGAAATAATATAATACCTGGAGGAAATACAAGGAAATGCACAGACATATTCAGAAAAGGGCAGAGAAAACGAATTCATGAGGGATTAGGTTGGGGTCAGGGTTGAAAGAACCTCGTTTGCTACAAAGGAAATTTAAGTTCATCCTGCAGAACGTCTCTGAGACACATTCTTATTAGTATTGTTATACTGTTGGGATTCTCCTCGTGGGTGGTCTGGGTTTTGAAAGAAGACTGCTAGCAGTCAGTGGGTAAATTGAATATCACAGTGTCCAAAGGCCTGGAGACTGAACCTGTTGTAGGATTCAAGGTCCCAGAACATAAGGGCAATGACTGGGAAGGAGGCAACATGGGCATTATTTCCAAGGGGTCCATTCTCTGATGCAAAATTACTGAGTCAAAGAGAAGGTGGAGCGACCCACGCGGCTCAGGAATGAGAGTTCCCTTGCCACGGCCACGCGGGCATGTTTCCCCGTGAGTTGGTCAGTCTCAGTTAGGACGTGCCTTTCCTTTTACTGCTTTGGACAACGCAACTCTTAGTTTATAAATTCTTTGTATTTACACTTATTTCATTACTAGAAACATTAAAGTTTTTTTCCGCTAAAATGTGATTTAGTATCTGTATCTTCAGGTATAATCTCTCTGTGTGATTTTTGTAAGGTATTTAACTCAAGCCTTAGCGTGTTCATCTGCGTGTAGGGGAAGGCAACTGTACCTACTGAGAGGACGCTGTGATGCAAAACGAGGGGCTGGGCACAGAACAAGAGTTCAGTACGTCACTGCACTTACAGAATGTTCATGCTCTGCAAACCTTTATTATCAAGTTTAAAATGCACACTCAATTTCCCATACGAATTTTTTTGTTTTGTTGTCTTTTTTGCACAGAAGTTCTTTATTTTACTCAACGTCTTGTTTGCATTGAAATTTACTTTATTTCAGAGCTGAAATAAGTGTATTCAATTTTGTTTTCCTAAATTTGTTGGATATAAAGTTTACAAACAAGTTGGGTTTATTTGTGAATTTTCTATCTTTGTTCATTTTTCTACATTCATGTGTTTGAATGTGTAAAGTACTCCTTTAAAAGTTATCCCTTCTCACATGCTCTGACTCTGGTAGGGCATGCTTTTCTTCACTATGCCTTTGTAAGTGATTTCTTTGATACCCTGCCCATTTACCTATTTATTTAGTATGAATTTTAGAACAACTGTGTGCAGATATATAAAGTTAATATTTTGGTACCTTAATTGGAATTTTGTTAAATTCATAAATTATCTTAAGAGATAATGTCATTTCTATTACAGTGTATATTTTTTTCCTGTCAGGAGCATATGTCTACATTTATTTGAATCTTCCTTACTTTCCCATTATATTTTTGTTTTCTCCAGCAAAGGACTGGGAGAGAGAAAACTTCAGTTTTAAATCAGATTCTTGGGAAATTGACCTCCCCCATCACATTCTTAGAAAAGTGATGATATGCTTATTTCTAAGCTTAGTTCTAAGGTGGTTTTGTCTACTGAGAATCCATCTCAGTTCCATGCTACTTAAATGGGGCCAATAGAAATAATTTCTGTAGCTGTAAATTGTGAATGTTAATTGTTTACCTAGTCACTAGATTGCTGTAAGGGTTATGAAACAAAGTATTCAAAATTATTTGAAAATGTTACAATATAAACAAGGGTATGGTATAATGAAATATGATTATAAAAACATATTTTGCTTCCCAGACAATAAGATTCTAGAGGGGTGGG